CCTGTTAGTTAATTTTTATTTATTTTATATTTTATTTTAACTAAAACTTTGCTATATCACTGAAAACCGCTTGACCTTTTGAGGTCATATAATGGACCCTTGGAGGGTTAAAAATCAAAATTTCTAAAAAATTGAAAAAACTATCAAAATTGTAAGGACTATAACATAGGCTACTGTGTTAAATAAAAACCGGATTTTTTTCTAAAATCCTATTTTTCGTTATTTTATAGGGTTTTTATGGGAAAATAACATAATTTACCATAACTTTTGAACCGTAATTTTTAGAGAAATGGGATTTTTACCAGTTTGTTCAGAATTTAAAGGGATACAACATGTACCTTTGTATGGAACTACATATGGTACTAAATTTTTATCAAAATCGTTCGGGCCATTTTTGAGAAAATTCAATTTTTCCGGTTTTTTATGGAAAAACAGTGCGCACTGGCACGTCCGTTACAGCCAGTTAAAGTTGCATAAGATTTACATTACTTAATCGTAATACATACAATATTCTATGAAATTAAAAACCCTAAATTACTAATGACTTAGCATAGAAATTATTCACTGTAATTATTTTTTCCTACTTTTACTCCACTTTAAAATCATCTACTTGTCACGTCCGTTACAAAAGAATGGCTGTTTTGCTTTACTTTGAGTTTCGTGTTTGGTACGACTTTGTTGGAAAGAGTGGCATTGCATCATCTGTGTTTGTATCCATAAGAGTGCTAACTTATTGGAGGTTAACTGTCGTGTGTTTCTAAATTTTTATTGTGTTTTACGAGTGATTTTGTTTCTGAAAATGAGTTACTGTATGATAATCATTTCTGATTTGTTTGGTAACTATGTATTATAAAGTAAAATATAGGCTATATTTAGTTATTTGAAAGTCAATATTTAGGACTAAGTGATATGAGTAGGCCTATGGGCTTAGGCCTAAAGCCTTTTTCAAAAAAGCACCACAGTGAGCTGATTTCTTAAGGTAAGACTTTCAAATTTGGCCAGTTTACTGACAAATATATGTAGAACCCATATCACCTACTTATAACAAATATTTTTTTCTGGTGTTGTTGCTGGCTTACTAATTTAATTTACTTATATGTATTTTTTTCGTATTACAAAACATGTTTTTGATCTTGGGCCATTCCGTCGTCACGGGTGGGACAGTTAGACGTGTTTAATTGCATTTTAAAGACAATATATTCTAAGTTATAAAGCACAGTTCAACAAAAACTCTATTGCTGTATTCACTAATAGTTATACAACTACTGTGGATTATTTTAGAGCTGTTTCTTACTTAACAAGAGAGTTATAACACTTTAAAAATCTGTCACGGGTGGGACAGAAAAAGGAAGAGCCACTATGTATCATTCTAAAAAAGTACCAAACTCTGTGAAAATACAAAACAGAACTGAATGGTAATTTTTATTTGGATGGATTAAAACACCCTTATTTTAATATCTCCAAAAATTAAATCTCTATCTTCAATACATTAATTTAAATTTAAATTTAACTGCTGTCACGGGTGGGACAAAAAAATGTCACGGGTGGGACACAGTAACTAAAACAATGAATAATGACAACAAAAATAGTTTGTATTTTGAAAACTTTCTATACAAGGTTTGTTACACTTCAGATGAACTGCAAAACTTAGAAATATAAAGAATCTTCATACTTCTTCTTGTCCTTCTTCATTCTCTCCCGCAGCTTTCTCATCCGCTCGGCTGAAAATTAAAACATAGCTTATATTAGAATAAATGTTATAGTCAGTCAAGCAATAATGGGGTGTGACAAAGGTTAATCTATGAACTATAAATCACTGCCTTAAAAATTCAGCTTATATGCCTACATCTAGGCTGTAGATAATTACCAGCGTAATGTAGGCTAAAGTGTCACGGGTGGGACAGATAATAACTAGTAAATTAAACCATATTTAAAGCAAACTTTTTAAATTTACATCATTTTAATGGCTTTGTTGCAGTTTTTATTGTTACAACCATGACAATTGAAACATAACCTAAAATGTTATGTTACTTGAATTTGACTTCTTTATCTTTTTCTGTCACAGGTGGGACAGTAGGCCTAAATATATCTTAAAAATATTTAGATTAATTATTACAATAAATGTTAAAACAATCTAGAATTAATGGGCTGTGATTATGATTTAGCCATGAACAGAAAAACACTGTCTGACATTTTAGGCCTAAGTCTAGGTTGTGGATAACTAATAGCATACAATAAGTGTCACGGGTGGGACAGAAAATTGACTATTAATTTCAACTTAATATACAACAAATTTTAAAATGTAACACCACTGACAGCTATGCTGTATACCAATTGTTACAACCATCACAATAGAAGCATAACCAAAAAATGGTAGGCTATGTTATTAGTATTTAACTTTTTATTCTTTTTTTGTCACGGGTGGGACAATAAAACCTCTTAATCATTTAGGACAAATGTTAATTAATATATAAGACTTACCTGAAAACAATCAAGATGGGTCTTAAGTTGACATTCTTCTCTAACTGTTAAACACAGTCAGCTTCCATGTGCCCTTTTAATAAGCAGGTAAAGTGATGCTAAACTTACAACAAAAAATTACCCCCTTACCAACGCTTGATTTCCTAAAATTTTTTTTTTATTTCTTAAAATTAAACATGTCTAGATAGTAAAAACAGTAAAAAACAATTAAATTTATATAAATTGGTTTTTTCTTACTAGGCTCATTTTCCATGGAATGGCCCTCTTATGTAAAAGTTTCAGAAATAAAAAACCACATCTAAACACAATAAATTGTGGTAATTATTTTTGGTATGTCTACAACGCGATATTATGTACTTTTTTGATGTCTACTTACAGTATTTTTCACGCTGAATCCAAAAATGCAATCAGTTTTTGTCGGAGAGATTCCTAAATGACCGTACAGTTAAATAATTAATATTAAGCTTCAGTTTTGTTGTAATATTCACATATTTGTGGTATGGACGAGTCCAAGTTCTAGTGGCGACTAACACTTAAAGGGGAGGAAGGATTGTGGAGTGGAAACAGCTGTCAGTTGTTTACATTCGATAACAACAGACAAAACCACACACGACGCCATGAGAGCAAAATCAGAGTTACAATATGCAATAACTAGATTTTTAAAAGAAAATGGACTTTGGTGCTGTTTAGAAAATACAATAAATCAACTACGATACATAAACTATTAATCACATCAACATAAATTATAGGACAAAATAGAATCTATTCACGTAAAATATCAGTAATAGAAGCAAGGCCACTGCCGACATGATCATCGTCCTCATTCCAATCCTGAACCATTGACTAATGCCTCAACGTCTGTTAATGAACGTGCCATAGTGCATAATCCCATGGTACATAATCCCATTGTGTCTAAAAGTGAAAACGTGCCACAGTGCATAATTTAATGTATCAGCAACTAATAAATGATGTTACATAATCTAATCTAATCTAATCTAACCTAACCTAACCAAACCCAACCTTAAAAGTAATGTTTAAATCACATTTTATGTCAGAAAAGGCATGTGAGGAAGATAGGTCGGACTTTATGCGGATTCGTGACTGTATTAAGTCCTTTGAAGTGAGGTTAGATTAGGTACCCTAAGTTAAAGGTTAGGTTATAATGAACCGACTCATTAAGTTAATTTATGCAACTTCCAGACTGTTTTTGCACAATTGAAATAGTGGGTGAAACACAATGAAATAAAAATATCGTGTTTCACCCACTATTAAATTGTGCAAAAACAGTCTGGAAGTAGGCTAGCATAAATTAATGAGTCGGTTCATAATAACCTAACCTTTACCTTCCTAATCTAACCTCACTTCAAAACACTTAATACAGTCACGAATCCGCATAAAACCCGACCTACCTTCCTCACATGCCTAAATAAGAACTGATTCTGATTATCTCTGGTTTTAAAACGAACTGATTTCATTTCGCATTAGGTATCGAGTACAAACAGCTGTTTGCTCTCCTCCTCACTCAGTCCTCAGTCCACCTACGGACCCGTCCAGACCACGCCATATTGCCATCAGTATAGCTCAATGAACCTTAGATTCGTAATGTTGACCCTCGTTTTACGATCATTTAGGAATCTCTCCGACAAAAACTGATTGCATTTTTGGATTCAGCGTGAAAAATACTGTAAGTAGACATCAAAAAAGTACATAATATCGCGTTGTAGACATACCAAATAATTGCCTAAATTGTATATTAATTTAAAGACAAATTGATAACTAATCTAACAAAAAAAGATTTATTGTTCTAAGTTATGCCTAAAGAAACAAGGGATAGCCCAGAGATTGTTAATCAAAACATTGCGCTTGACTAAAAAACGGCCTTGGCAGTATTGGCATGCAACCACTTAAAAATTGTGGCGGTGAAAGGGTTCAGCTGAGGGATTCCATACCCCCCAGACCCACCCCACTGAGCTATAATTCTAACTGGAGGTAGCACTGAATGTCAAAGATGCGTGTCGCCAGCCGCCATGTTTGCGTGAGGTGGGTGTCCATAAGAAGCCATGTTATTGCTATGACAGAAAAACTCACTGCTATACAACCTAGTTATAAGAAGCCATGTTATTGCTATGGTAAGAAAACTTACTGCTATACCAACCTAACAAAATCAGCGACTCGCTTTTGACAGACTTCTGCCATGGCAGTGCTACCTCCAGTTATAATTTTAGCTCAGTGACCCACCCCCCCCCCCCCCGCACAACGGAACGGGGTGTCCCGCTTCGTAGGCTACTCCAAAATATATGGTCACGTGGTCCCATGTCCTTCACATGCCTAGGCTACTCTACATTGTCCCACGTTGACTAGACAAGTTAAATGTGCAAGAAAATTGCAAGTCACCCACACACATAGGCTATAAAGGCCCACGGAAGGAATGCTACCTAGCCTATTTGGCCAAATGCTTGTAGGCCTAGGCCTATTGTAAGACATCTTGAAAAATGTTGAATAACAATGCGTTTTCTTACCTTCTGTAATCTCTCAAGCAGAACAGCCTTTACTCCAGTTTTGTCTAAATCTCTTTTTTCCAGCTCTGTTCGCAGATCAACAACACGCAAATCATTTATCTTTTTACTTTCAGATTCATTAGCCATAATTGAAATGAACTCAATAAGAATGCTTCACTTCACACTCGCAGTCACCGTGTCCGTGTCACCGACGAAAGGGGCTAGCATAGCATTTAAAAAAGATGGCGTCGGTTGCGGTTCTTTTCTTTCCTGAATCCTTTCCTTTCGTTTTCGTTCTCTTTCCAGTTTCCAAGTCCAAGTCCAATCGTCCAATCACTCGACGTTCTGCGTCCAAGGGCAGCACACTTTTTATTTCAGGATTAGTTTTGCCAACAGTGTCATTTGGAGGCTTCTCTGATATTCTGATTGAGTATAATGAAGGTTACTAATCGAAAAAATAGTTATGTTCATAAAATAAAAATATAAACGAGCTGTTGTCCCGTCCTACGTACGGGAATTGAGTAGTCAACTTAAACTGAAGTTATATCAATATTTCCATTTCTAATCCAAGCAAAGTTCAAGCGGTTAAACATATTTTGAAAAAGCTGCCAAGATGAATTAATAGTTATTTTCCTACAGTTACCTAACAATGTACATGTTCTCTCACTGATTTGAGAAAGCAAAGTTGCCAATTCGCTCATCAGTGAGACAATGTTATTAATGTTAACATTGTCTCACTCTATAATTACTTTGTCTCACTCCAGATTTGCAGCGTGAAGGCACGAAATAGTGAGCGCGTAACATGCAGGCACGAAACCTGTAAAAACATGTAAACATTGTTATTTTCCTACTCTTTCCTCAAAAAATCGAACAGAAAGAAATAATTTGCATAAGCTCTCCTTTGAAGACTCGGAGGCTGAGCCTCATCGATTTGTATACATCAGTGGCTATAGAATCTTACTTATTTCCTATAATCAATGACAATATCACAGAATAATAAACTAACCTTATAGTTCTAAAGAATATTTTTATAATCAACCAGCTGTTAGTTAAAACAAATAATATTCCAATTAGACAAACTTAAAATTGTAAGGACTGCTAAAAAAATAAATTAGAATATCTATCATTTAACAATCTACAGGGTGAAATTTAATTGTCCCCCCCCCACAAATATCAATCCCAGACCACTTCCAAACATTGTTGGGTAGTAAGTACTTCATTTTGACAAGGTGGTCATTTCCGGCCGCCATCTTGGATCCGCCATATTGGATGCAAAATTTTTTTTCAAATGTAAAGGTGGGGTTGTGACTCATTATTTCGAACTAGATTTTTACCCTGATTACAATGCCGCAAACTGTTTTTAAAAATCTTGATTCATTCTAAAGTTATGAGGGTTTTTAAAACTTTAGTTTTAGCCCATTTTAACATTGTGCATTTACAAACTAAGACCATAATCTCAAAATAGTGCTAGATAAAGATAAGTATACACTACCAGTAATTGTCGACCTATTTTCACTTGGTTATGACTGAAGTATCTTTTTCGGCCGCCATCTTGGATCCGCCATTTTGAAATGTGATAAATTATTTTAAATATGAAAGGGGTGTTGTGACCCATCATTTCTAACTACTTTTTTAAGCTGAACTTAATTCCATCATCCGTTTTTCATTTTCATTTTTTGATTTTTAAATGTTGACATTTTTTACAAAAAATTGCAATGTTTCATAAATAAAACTTGATAACAAAAAACGGATTGCAGCATTGAGTTTAGCTTAAAAAAGTAAATCGATATGATGGGTTACAACACCCCCTTCATATTTAAAATAATTTATCACATTTCAAAATGGCGGATCCAAGATGGCGGCCGAAAAAAATACATCAGTCATAACCAAGTGAAAATAGGTTGACAATTACTGGTAGTTAGTCCTCAATAAACCTTTGAACAACATTAACTCACCATCACCAACAATGAACTTCAAACAAAGAAAAAAAGTACTGGTAGTGTATACTTTTCTTTATCTGGCACTATTTTGAGATTATGGCCTTAGTTTGTAAATGCGCAATGTTAAAATGGGCTAAAAATAAAGTTTTAAAAGCCCTCATAACTTTAGAATGAATCAAGATTTTTAAAAACAGTTTGCAGCATTGTAATCAGAATAAAAATCTAGTTTGAAATAATGGGTCACAACCCCACCTTTACATTTGGAAAAAAAATTTTGTGTCCAATATGGCAGATCCAAGATGGCGGCCGGAAATGACCACCTTGTCAAAATGAAGTACTTACTATCCAACAATGTTTTGAAGTGGTCTGGGATTGATATTTAAAAAATGTAGAAAAAAGTTGGGGGGGAGACAATTAAAACTCACCCTGTATATTTAAATAGTCTGTCATCCTCTTACCCAGAGTATGAATGAAGGGTCGCTATCAAGGCCGCCACCACACCACGTCAAGCCGCCGACTCAGTGTTTTGGTAAGAGGCGTTAACGCGCCACCACAAAAAAAAACCATTAACTATCTTCCATCTCAACATACAGCGAGGACTACAAAACAAAATTGACAGATTGCTTATAGAGATAGACAAAATTAGGCCTGACATCTTGATCCTGTCGGAACACGGTCTAAAGAGTGAAGAGCTTGCAGTTACAAATATTGAAGGATATGTGCTGGCATCACAATTCTGTAGAATCCATCACATGTGGGGTGGTTTTGCATTTTACCTAAGAAATAATTTACATATCGACTCAGAAGAAATTAAACTCCAGGAACTGTATACGGCAGAAGAACAAACATTTGAGACTGTTGCAATCAACTGAAATATAAATTCTATAACATCATACTGATTGGTACATACAGATCACCTGATAGTACTACTAAAGAGGATTTTCTAACAAAACTGGCAGACGTCTTACAGAATTACACCACGAAAAATAACTACTGCCTGATCCTAGGTGACGCCAATTTTGACATTTTGAAGCCTGACAATCAGGGTGTAAAAAATCTCCTATGCCTGTTGGCTGAATATGGATGTTACGCATATGATATTCCTGTGACGAGAAAAACTTCAACATCTCTCTCTAGTATTGACGGACTAGCTGTAACCCGCGGGCTTTGTCCCGTTTAACTTCTTAATTTTCAAGATTATCTCGTTCGCATGGCTCAATCACGTCCTGGTTGAAGTTTGTTCGCTACGCTCACTCACCTTTAGGTTGGAGCTCGTTCGCTGCGCTCACTTGCCTTCAGGTTAGCTCGTTCGCTACGCTAACTCACCTCCAGGTTGAAGTTCGTTCGCTACGCTCACTCACCTTTTGGTTGCAAATTAGCTGTTGTCATAAATGTAAAAGAAATAGTAGTGCTGCACCCTGTTGGTAATTTTTGTAACTTTAATGCTATTGAACATCACAGAACAGAACCAACTTGTTTAATTGAAACAGCTGTTAAGATTCAATAATTTCATTTCTCATAAGGTTAACATGGGAAACTCCAGAGCCACTGGGGCGGAGCCCGAAAGGATTTTTGAAATAAGAATATGCCTAAATGTTAATCGGGAATGTGAGCTATCATCATGCCAAATTTCAGCCCAATCCGACCAGTATTTTTCGCGTTCACTTGTCACAAACATACATCCATACATCCATCCATACATCCATACATCCAAACTTTCTCATTTATAATATTAGTAGGATGTTACACCAACTTACAACCAGATGAAATATCTGTACAAACACACCTGACCAGTTTTTCGGATCACCACTATTTAATATGTGAAGTTAAAAATAAGAATAAACACCAACACCAACACCAGCCAGCTACCTATAAATACTCAAGAAAATTTTCTAAGGCTAAATTGAAAGAGTTAAAGGAAAAACTAAGTACAGTAGACTGGGCACCTGTTTATGCATTAAGATCTGTGGATGAAAAATATGACAACTTTCTAAAGATTCTTCGACTCAACATGGACCACATTATGCCTAAGGAACCAAAGAGGGTCTCAACAACAAACAAAAATATTTTTTCGGACAAGGACATCTTTTGGAACAAAAGGCAGCTCTGCAAATTGCCCACAACAAATTTCTGCTCACTGGTGCGAAGGACGACAAGGAAGGTTTCCATGACATAAAGAGAGCTTATGACCAACAAGTTAATAGTACACAAAGACGCCACACTGCAGAAAAAATAGCTCAAGCTGACAACAGAACTAAAGCTATACGTAATATAGGAAATAATGAGAGAAAGAAGAGCACTACGCAACAAAAACAAATTAGCCTAATGCAACATGGCAAACTAATACATGACCCTTATCACGTGAGCAATATTTTTAATAAATTATACACACAGCCTACCCTGGATCATACCACCAACCAACCAGATAATGACATCAGGAGCCTGACAGAGGAGTGCCACCGTTGTCTTCTTTCAACTACATATCTGAACGGGAATTGGATGAACTCTGTAGCAGTATTAAGCCTAACAACTCTGCGGGATTTGATGATGTCACAGGGAAGATTCTCAGGTTCTGCAAGGAAGAGCTGTTAAAGCCTGTTTGCCATATTGGCAATAGCTCCATTCAACAAGACACAGTGCCTGAAAAGTTAAAGATAGCAAAAATCTACCCTGTCTTTAAAAAGGGCGACAAACATGAACCCAACAATTATAGACCAATTTCAAATCTGCCAGTCATATCTAAACTGCTTGAGCGTGCTATTTATAACCAATTATCTACCCACCTTCAAAACTACAATCTTTTATCTCCATGCCAACACGGTTTCAGAAAGGGCCATAGTACCAACACGGCAATAGTTCATCTATGCAAAACCATAAATGATCTGTGGGAAAATAAGTGTAGCACCTCAGCCCTTTTTTGGACCTACAAAAAGCCTTTGACAATTTAAACTGGGAAATTTTTCTTCAGAAACTTAAACAGTTCAATATCACGGATCTAGCTCTAAATTGGGTTAAAAATTACCTTGATGACAGGCAACAATTTATCGAATTAGGCTATCAGCACCACAACACAATTGGAACCGTCAAATCATCCTTAAGGAAAACAGTGGTAGGAGTCCCACAGGGATCGATATTGGGTCCTTGTACTTTCTAATTTATATTAATAGCCTACCAGAGTCACTGAATCATAATCTGAGAACCATACTCTACGCAGACGATACAACAATAGTAATCCCTACAAAGTACCATGAGAACAATAGCAACATAGTCAATTCAACCCTGGACGAGGCTACCTT